TGTTGTGTGTGTGTGGATATATATTTTATATATATATATATATATCTTGTTACATATTTATTTAAATATCGACACCTGTCTGCCCACTGTAGGAATTGGAGAAGTTGCCTGACGATGAGAAGGAGAGGGTGCTCAAACAGTACAGTCTGCACGACATACTCGACGATTTAGGTGTCGATATAGACGTTCACGATGACTTCCAGATGGAGGTTCCAGGCAAGGTGATATACTTCTACGAAGATGCGGCTGCTGAGAATGGTATGCTTGTGCTTGGTCCATACTATTGAAGGGTTTGTAATGTGTGTATTTAGTTTTATATGCGCACAGTGGTGCATATATTCTAACGTACTGCATTCCGCGATGTCTCTATATGAAAATGTCGGGCACTGTCACTTCCTTTCACGTACGTGGCTGTTAGTATGGATGCGTATGCGTGTGTGCAAATTATCGTAACAGCAGTTTTTATTTCGCTGTTTGTCATTGTGTGCATAACATTTGATAGTTATTTCTATACCATCTCAATACCAGAGGTACTGGCGAATGAGCACATCGGTACACAACGACGTACTGCGAAGGATATTTCCCTTCGCTCACCCGGATCAAGATAGTGTACTTCAAATCCAGCACGTATATCTGTACTGCCATTACCTTGCCACATGGCTTGCACCTGTATTCATATACCTTAACCCTCTACACTGCAGATGCCGAGGATAAGGGCGACCTGTACAACATGGTGCTCTGCGATGCGTTGTTCCCTTCGTTCACGAGGATTAGCATAGATCCCAGGCTGGTCTTTGACCATGCGTGTGCTTCGTACGAGTCGGCGTTCAAGCGCTTAACTCGGGCTATGAAGGATAGAGCGGAGGGCGAGAGCGAGAAGGACCTGGAAGTGGCTCCAGAAACGGAGAAGAAAGTGAAGCAGCTCGACGAATGAGGGATTGGAATGAACCGATTGTACCTGTGAATACTAGGTGGTTGTAGTGGTTTGGGTTCCAATGGGAATGTTTAGGTATAAATTAAAGATAAACGGGGTGCACTGGCTTGCTTGCCCACTTTTAGTTTATGTACTTTCATCTATACAGAGCATCATGCCTGGGATCTGAAACCGTACTCACATCGAAACATTGAGGTTGCTACTTGACTTTTACGGGATGGAGTGTCGTCAGTTGCCAATATTTGTGATTCGGATAACGCTCAGCGGACTCACAACCGATACATCTCGCAACGGAAGCTCTGCTGTATAGTATAGGCGAACCATCGATATCCATATGTAATAAAGTTACACCACGATATAGCAATACTATTGTAGCATAGCGTTGTATACATACCTGCCCAACAGTAGTACTTGGCTAGCAGATACATACGCAGAAGTCAGATATATCATAGTGTTATACGCCGTGACTCATTTTTAATATGACAAGATGCACTGCGAATATGTAGATATACTTGCCCAACAGTAGTACCCGGGCAGCAGATACACATGCAAAACTCAAATTTAACATTGTACCATTGAATGTGACTCAGATATCATGTAGTACGACAGGCTGTTAATGTGTATATATACTTACTCAACAGCAGTACTCGGACGACAGATACATACGCTGAACTCAAGATACAACATTCTATCATACGATGTAAATTATTTTCAATATCGTATGACGGGATTTCAATGTGTGTGTACATTTTCTCGTCAGCCGTACCCGGCCGGCAGATGCATACTCAGAACTCAATAACCTCGCTGTTTTTTAGACTTCGACTAGATTGAATTGTTGTGTTAAGCATGTGCTCGCTTATGACATGGTACCACAGGATGTTAATATAAACGCTGTGCTATGTAGTGTAGAACTACTCGACACTAATATTGGGCCGACAGGCATATGCACACATATTTGCCGCTGGTTTCGAGAGAGAAAAGACATAACTTTGTCTTAGGTTGTCAAACAGTACGTATAACACAGGTGAGTCTGTAAACAGTAGAACACAACATTTTGGGGTTGTAAAAACGACAGGCTATACGGGGGTGAGATATATTCAAGCATGCATGCCTTATATAGAGTGTGTGCATACAGTGCAAACACTTACCATACGCCGAATAAAAGTGGGTAGAGTACTTGTCTGCATATTTGTATTCAAGTATTTATTTCCGAATGCCATGGATGTTGTTTTCTACTATGATTTCCTATAACGCTCAATCTTCCTTGTCGAGGATTAGAATATCTCTGCACCGACGGGCCCATCTGGGTAGGAAGCCATTGACTCAGTCTCTTTGCAGCCGTCCACGGACCTTTGTAGAACTAAGGCGATATTTATATAGTATTTAAATGTATGGAATAAGGAAAAGATTAAATATCGTATACAAGACGGTTAGGAAAACAAGTATAGGATGGAAGTATACTGAGTGTCAGTGGTATAGTAAAAGCTACGAGGAACAGACCGCTCAAGCACTGTGTGACAAGAGTACAAAAAAAGCAAGTATAAAGTGAACAGGATTATAAAGTGATAGATCGTGTAAATTGTGACTCCTTTGTGGTGATACATGAAACGGGATATCGTTGTAAATGTGGCGTGTATCATGGGTACATTTTCCCTAAACACGAAATAATGGGCATGATACGATATATTGACTATGTACGACTCACAGTGCGAGTCGATAGGTTTTCGTTAAGATTCCTGTGACAGATACGTTGTCGGCACGTAATATTTTGAAATACATGCACAGTGCGGCTCAAGACATTCCCTTTCATTTCTCGTGTGTACACGAGATGCATATATGCATAATATAAGTGTGTTGCACGAGCAGTATAATACTATAGTGGATCACTCTCGTGGTTTATATGTATCTCATATGTACACAGGTGTATTGTACGAGCGTCATAGTACTGCAGTGGGTAACATCACTCTAGTGCAGCATATGCAGCTCGGGTGTAGATAAGTATGTTGAATGAGCATCGTGGTACTGTAGTGGGATACATGACTTTAAAACTGCATATGAATCTCAGGTGTAGATAAGTATATTGTAGGAGCACCATAGTACTGCAGTGGAGTACATCACCTCAGTATTTAATGTGTACATAGCTTTATTGTACGAGCATTAAAGTTCAAGTTGATGCAAACCTAGAATTCCGTGTGTTCTCTGTTCGGATATGTATAAATATATGTATATATAAATACATATATATATATATTGAATGTATGTACTTATGAATACACGTATGTATGTATGTTTCTATGCATGTATGTTTGTATGTATGTAACTATGCATGCATGTATGTATGTTTTATTTAAGATAGTATGTGTATATATATGTACATGTGTATGTATATATTTGTAAGCGTGTTTGTTTCTACGAGCGTTTGCAAGCATATTAATATTTATTCATCGAAGTATATACATATGTGTGTACGCACATATTATATTTATCTATGTATATGTGAGCTCATTTATGTATACATACATACATATATACATACATACATACGTTCATACATATATACACACATACGCACATACACTTACTCGTACACATACTCTCACACATACACATACACTTAAACATACACGTACATATACTTATACATATACACATACATTACACACACGTACACATACGCATACACATACACATACTAATTCCTATACTTATTCTATGCTTATTCTTATACTTATACATATACTTATTTTACTTTACTTATAGTTTACGTATACAGAACATATACATTACATATACATTACATATACATTACATATACATTACATATCCATTATATATACATTACATATCCATTACATATCCATCACATATACATTACATATACATTACATATACATTACATATACATTACAGATACATTACATATACATTACATATACATTACATATACTTTTACATATACATATACATGTACATATACATACATATACTTACATATATATATATATATATACATATAGTTTACGTATACAAACATATCCATTACATATCCATTACATATCCATTACATATCCATTACATATACATTACATATACATTACATATACATTACCTATACATTACATATACATTACATATACATCACATATACATCACACATACATTACATATACTTTTACATATACATATACATATATATACATATGTATATATATATGTATATATGTACATATGTATATATATATATATATATATATATATATATATATATATATATGTATTATAGTTATATATATATATATATATATAT